GTGTTTGGAGTCTTTCAGTCGCTTTTTCAGTAGTTTTGTCGTGTACAACAAGTGCCGTGTCGTCAGCGTATTGTAATATGTATGCCGTTCTGTCGGTTTGATTTTTGTCTGGTAAATTGTAATTGTATATGTCATGGCAGTATATACTGTAGAGAATGGGTGAGAGAGGGGATCCTTGAGGGGCCCTTGTTCAGGGGAAAAAGAAAAGGAGAGTGTGTTGTCAATTCGTACTTGTAGTTGTCTGTTTTCTAATAAGTTCTTTATGGTATGTAGTAGATATGGTGGTGTGTGGAGTTTGTATAGTTTGTATAGTAAGCCCCTATGCCAGACACTATCAAAAGCCTTGTTGATGTCCATGAGTAGACATGCCGACTTTCCGTCAATTAGGTGAGTTGTTTGTATATTGTTGGTCAAAATAAATAACGGATGAATAGTCGAGTGATATTGTTTAAAGCCAAATTGGTAGGTTGGTATATGTTTTCCGATCAGTTCTTCAAGTCTCTGCTTTACTATGTGTTCCAAAACTTTGCTCAGCACCGGGAGTAACGTAATAGGTCTGTAGTTTTCCATTTGTGTATTGTCTCGTCCATTTTTAGGTATAGGAATTACTACACCACTTTTCCATGTTTTCGGATTTTTGTTATTTTTGTTATTCCGTTTTCGTCAATTGTGCCAGTAGTGTTAGTTTTCTTGTATTGTGCTAATTTCTTGATTTTTGCCAATATGTTTTGCCCTTGTCTTTTTCTATTTCCTTACATGTTTCTAACCATTTGTCTTGTGGGTATTGTTGAATCAGAGTTTTAATGTTCCTGTTGAGTTGGTTCAGTGTCTTTTTTAGGTCGTTATTTTGGGTGTAAGTATATAGTCTGTAACGTTCTCTCTTATGTTTGATGAGTCTCAGTATAAATTTGGGTAGGGTGTGTCGGTAGAAATTTTTTTAAATTTTAGGGGTGACTTTTCTTATCGCTAGTGAAAGTTGTTGTTGTATGGTTTTAATTGAGATGGTCTGTACTTGCGATTGTATGTAGTTATGTATGTGTTGTCTCACTTTGTCTATGTCAGTCTTAGTTAAGTTGAGCTTTTTCTCTTGATTCGGTGTGCTGAGGGTAGGTTGCGTTAGTGTTAAGTCTAAGCCAAAAGTTATTGCAATGTGATCTGATCCCAGTTCATTTGTCAGTTGGATATTGTTAATATAGTTGGTTAAGTTGGTTGTGTGAAGCAATAACAAAATTAGTTATTTTTATTCCTTTTCATAAGAATTAATTTGTTTTGTTTTCAAAAACCTTATACTGGTAATTTTACAGGAATTTACAAAAAACGATCTTTTTAATTCCTATCTCCTACGGATCTTCAAAACCATGGACATCTTCACGCTCTTCAATTTCAATGTTCCGATTCGTTGCTGGCTTTTCGTCGACAGTCTCTATGAATCACTTACTTGAAATTCAATTAGTTGGCTATGAAAACAGTTTTCATGACAATTATTTCGTAAATTTAGAAATTTTAAGCTTTGTTTTCGGTCCACCTCTTTATTTATCACACTCGCTTGGACAGCAGCAACTTGTAATTTTTAATAATGTTTTCGGAATTACGCCTGAACAGTCGCTATAAACCGAAATAATCACTAAAATCGAAGATAATTGAAAGTATTTAAAAAATCATGATTTAGCAAGAGTTTTTTTTCAGTTTTTCGCAGTTTTATGTGGTTTTACGATAAACAAACAAACCAGTTACATAGACGATTTTTAAGTAGACATGCAAAGACAACCAAAATTGCCGCTTATAGACCTTCGAAGTTCAAAAAAATATAAAGACAATTTTTCGTAGAAGATAAGAATATTTTTTTCGCGAAATATGCATAACTTGAAGTATAGTCGTCTTCTGAACTGCAAATAAATCATGCGTATGGAACACGAAAAAGCCATACTTTTGCAAACTTTGATGTAGATTAATTTAATTAAACGCAAAAAAAATAAATTATGGAAAATCGTTTTTCGCCAGTTTGACGGTTCAACTTCGTGGAACTTCTATATTGAACTTGTTCCGCTAGGAGATCACGTTACTCTGCAAATCCGTGAAAGGAGCTTCAAAGTAAGGTACAGTTTGAGAAATGATTGTTATTATTTGCAAAGGTTATCTACCTGTAACTATCTATTGATGACAAAAGCAGCATTGCCTCTTTGACATTTCATCAAATAATTGTAGAAGAGAACTTTTTTAATATTAAAAAATTTCGTAGGTTGAAGCAGAGATCGTATTTTTTTTCTTTTCGAATGCTTAAGTATTCCAATATGCTACCAATTAAACATGGGACAACTTCAAAATAATGTTTAAGAACAAAATTTAATTACAAACTTCTTTTTGGGTATTTCGCCTCAAAAATTTTTTTATTTTTAAAAAAGACAGAATTTCCTCACGTCTTTTATTACAGATTGATAAATAGTGCTCCCATTTCGCAATAAGAACGAATTAGTTATCAAAAAGTAATCAAGAACTATCACCTAGAGGGTATCCTGCGACACACTTAGGCTCAAGCTGTAAGAGAAAATTCCAATTAGTAGAGAAATTAATTTGAAAAATTACCTTGACGTTTCGATATCTATGTTCTGCTATCGTTATCAAAAGAACCTAAATGAACCTAAAAAAGAGTATGTTAATAAATTGTGTAACAATAGTAGGATAATACAATATATGAAAATCCGCTCTGATAATTCGTCTGATAATTCATACTCTTTTTAGGTTCATTTAGGTTCTTTTGATAACGATTGCGAAATGGGAGCACTATTTATCAATCTGTAATAAAAGACGTAAGGAAATTATGTCTTTTTTAAAGACAAAAAAAAATTTTGAGGCGAAATACCCAAAAAGAAGTTTGTGAAAAAATAAATCCGCCTCAACAATATAGAACTTATCAACAAAATTTAAATTCGATTTTTAACTGTTAATATGTTCTTATCTATTACCCCTTAAAAGGAATTAAGCCAACTGTGAATCATTCTGTATACAGGGTGAGTTTTTTAAAGTGTTACAGGGCTATATGTAGGGGGATATGTTTTAGCATATTTTTGACTATTCTACTCAAGCGCCCTCTTTGAGAGGTAAAGGCAACTTTGCAATTTTAAATGGAATGCTTTTTTATTCTGACATTTCATTTTACATGAAAAACTACGTATGTGCACACATTTTTGCGTGGTTAACTCATCTGGTTACACAATTGTCGATAAGTTAATTTTATTGAATTTCAATACAATTAAACATGTTTAAGTCAGTGGTTTTTTCAAATAGTCAAAAATTTCAAAATTCTCTAAAAAATAGAGTCATAAAGTGTTTGTAGGATGAAGACATGCATTTTGAACATCTCCTAAAACATATTTGATTACTATTAGTCGGGTCATAATTTAATAAATTTATTATTTTTATTTATGTTACACGTCATAATTCTGGAACTAAGGGATCAAATGACATAAAAATGTGTACACTTACATAGTTTCTTATGTTGATTTAAATTTCACAATCAAAAATATATCATTCCACTTAAAATTTCAATGCTGCCTTTACGTCTCCCAGAGGGCGCTTGAGTAGAATAATAACTCATATGTTAAAATATGTCCCCGTACCTATTTCTTTTTTTCCCAAAATTTTATAAATATATTTGGAACAGTTTCTGAGATATAGCCTTGTAACACTTTAAAAAACTTACCCTGTATAATTCCGTTTGTTAAATGGTCGTCGGTTTTTTCTCATTTCATTCGACATCTTCTCTTTATGTATTTCCTAGAAAACAACAAATGTTAACTTAATATGAATGCAGAAAGAACAGAAAGAAAACTCAGGCAGATAAGAAATTCATTAAATCCGAATGTTTACGAAATTTACATTTTATTTCAAAACAGACACCCGCTATTTGTTTTATTATGCACCGAATGAATGAGTCTTGCTGTTTTCCACAAATTAGTGAAATTTTAAATTTAGATAGTCAATTTGCACGGTAAATTTAGAGAATCCGACTGTATTAAGTTAATAGAGTATTCCATCTAACTAGAACACGCACCTTGAAAACGTTGAAGTTTACGTAAGCCAAGCGCATTCTGAAAACATAATCATTGACTCTGACGAATGACGCTGATGCTTCGATTCCAAACATTATTTTCATATTCAAAGAGTTAGATCATGCAACAAATCAGGTCCAATGCGAATATTTTATTTGTAACGTTACTGAGAACAGCAAAGTTAAACTAAAATATAATATTTGATTTCAAGGCCAAGTGAAGAAGTACTTTTGTTGAACAGGAATCCGAATATTGAACAGGAAATTCCCCCAGAAATTAGTGTTAGAAACAAAACGAAAAAGCAACCCTGCAAACCTCGATGAACCTTGATCAGACCTAAGAGACAAATATATTTTCTCTTCTCAACCTTGACTCATAGAAGAGAGAAGAATCATTCGCAATCACGAATAGAAAATTTTTGGTCAAATTTCTTAATGTATTCTTCTATACTATACCATATTGAATACTACTGAATGAATTGAATTATACTTTTAATTCCAATTCGAGTATTGTGATATATCCAATAGTAATGCTCAATTTCCCCGAGTTTCGTTAGTTGTTGCCAAGTCATTAGTAATAACGAAATTAACTGCAAATAATTTTGTTTATCTTTAACTAACATTTGGTGTTATTAGTTAAATGAAATCGTAAAGAATGGAATAAGAGGATTAGAGCTTGGACAATCATAGCAAATGTTCAAAATGCGTTACATTATTTGTAACGCAACGATTTAAGAATTGTTGTGTGACTAACCGTTGCTGCTTCAATTTCAGCTCTTAAAGTGCTGGCAATAGCATACTTAATACTTTATTTCTTGTAGTCAGCAATAGTAGAACGAGTTGGGGAAACCATTCCGTTCAGCCGACCTCACAAATGAAAAGCGAATAAAGCGAGATCCTGGAAAATATGCTATATTCTTCTACATGCTATTTTAAATTCTGAAGCAACCATCTCAAAATCAGTACTTCACTCGTCGCTTTTTTATTTCCTGCTTTTTTCCACAATTTTCACTTCAATGACTTTTTTTTTCATTCTTCGATTTAATTTATATTTTTGCTTGAAACCTAAAAATGCATAACTGTCCTCACAGCCGACAACCGTGCATATGAGATGGTTATTGTAGGAAGCTATACACCAATAATCATATTTAGCCCACGTGATTCTGCTTTATGTTGCAAACAATATAGATTTTTTGAATTCTAATGAACATATTATTTTACCTTACCTCAGGTGAAAATGTGTATCCAAAACTGGATTAAAATTTTAATTCATACTTTCAGTCGCACCTCTATGGGTCCAGTTAATTCATGCTTTATAGTATTTCGCCGTTTTGCGACAGGTTTCTACTAAGAATTTTTCGTACTAAAACTACGTAAAAATACCTTGATTGAGTTTATCAAAATATTTGTCAGAATCAATGCTGATGGATTGTATGATTCAAGCAACCCATTCAATATTCAAAAGAAAGTGCCTTTCGGGGCATAGAAATCCACTTGTGATAAATTGGAACAGAAATAGATTTTGAAAAGAAAAAGGAATATGTTCCTTCAAAAATCTTACTATGCACATAAATATTGCCCATTTTCCCCGAGGTTTCACGAGCCGCACAAAACTGCAGGACGAAGGAATCTATATTTTTGATTATGCAACTGATGTTTGATCTCAATGAACGACAAGATTGAGAAAGCCAATACGTCCTTAAGTCATATTCAAATAAAAATAATAAAGCTGATGTTGCAGGAATGATAATCGATACTATTAAATAACATGTGGTGTTGAATATGGGCTCACTAGTGACACTATATTGTTACTACATTCCACATCTCGAACGGATACCGCTATACAAATTAGTCGACACCACGTGTTCCTTCCTATAGAAATTCTATATAATAGAAGATCCAGCTGTTAAGTCGAATATGTGGAAAATTAAATTGAATACACAGTTTTTAGATTGTAATTTTTCAATGTTCAATGTTCAATGTATTTGTCTCTCATTTTCTACGGAATTTCTATTTATAATAACATAATTTTTAAACAATATATGTAGGGTTTGTGTGCATCTCTAAAGAGTTTTCAAATGTATGATGGCGGTTTTGTTTATCGGAGCACAAAGATTTGCTCATACGTAAATTCCAATGTGCATGTGCTCTTTTTTTAAATGTCAATTAAATGCGATTTAAACCACATATTTGCAATATTGACAATTAGGTCCGTAACATTTGAAACTATTAACTGTAGGATTAGGCATAGTTCATCAAGTGTTTTCATGAACAAGGTTTACAATCGCCATTTTAATTTTCGACGTTGTTGAATGCAGCATATTAATTAACATATTGACTAAGAGCAATCGTAATCGGTACTTTACCGGTATTTCGGTAAATCGGTATTTTTACCATTTACTTCGACTTACTCATGGTTTTTAGGAATTAAATTTTGTTAAACCACATGACTAAGTTTACTTATTAGTAATCAGTTTACTCTAGTCAGTGTGCTTTGTGAACATTTAAACGTATATTGTCTCAGTAGTATGCAGCATTCCTAATACATGTAATTTATATTCAAGGGAGTTTCTGCTTTAACTATAATACCGCATTATGGCAGGTATTCATGTATATGTAGTATGTTCTAAATCGTGCATTTAATTGTCATCAATCCCAATCTATCCGTTAGGATTTAACTAAATGCAATAAATATCCTATTTAATTTTAACTATTATCATCTGCGTGCATTTTTAATAGCAATTTCGGTAATGGTTAAGAATTAGCAATATAATTGTCATCTCGACCATAACCGTCTTGGCCTAGTATAATGAGAAAGTAATTCCAATATTTCGTGTATAATGAGGCATTTTGCAAAAAGTTATCATAAATTTAAAGCTATTGGCAGCACGAAAATTCCAATTTTTTGATGTATCATTTCAATTTAGACGCAGTTTTTGAAGTGATAACTTTTTATGGGACGGTGAACAGATTTTTCTTGGTCACGGCGGCTTCCACTCCGGCTTCTTCGTGCCTGAGGCTTGGGACGCACATATGCACTTTGAATTCGACATTTTTCTCTTAGTGCGGGTGCATCTGTAGCTCTGATAAACTTTTCAAATACACATTGCGTTTTTAAACTGACAGTAATTTTGATATATTAATTATTGAGTGTGATATTATTGTGTTTGAGTCAATAAATTAACAAAGGATAAGCTGCAGATACTGCAAATACTAAGTAAGGGTGCTCATGTACTAGATGCCGGTTCGAGTTGCGCGTTCTTTTTAATTTCCAATTAAAGTACACACACAATTATACACAGTAAAGCAGTTCAAGTGCAAAAAAATGCGTATCGTCCATAAATTTGCTAAAAAATGTATTACAAACTTTTGAAAATCATGTTCAAACGACCGGGTATTTATCATTGCAAATGAGATTGTTCATTGCGGTGTACTTTTAAATATTGTTTTAAGAACTAACAATCGATGATTCGACACACAAAATGGTGCCTAGAATCCACTACAATAAAGTTTTTGAATAACTGTTGGACCTCTTTTAAATCGCCTAATTGATTGCGGACGCAAATTCGCATGAAGAAAAGACTAAATAAAATTAAATCGTATCGATAGAATCCCGGTACCGATCTCCTATGTCTGTAGTCCAGATGCTGATGTCCATTTGCATCGTATTTCACGATTCAAAGTTCTGATCATTTCATCGGAGACAATTGTTAAACCAATCGTTAAGCGAATATTCTCTAAATACGCTCAAGATTAAGTGCAAATCAAGTGTCACAACTACTATTAATAACTTTTAATGCAATAATACATATGTTCTATTATTTGTTATTGCGCATCAAAAGTGATTTGTTCCCTTCTTATGCCCTTTGGTTCCTTTATGATTAAACCTTCTCAATTGAGTTTAATGTTTTAGTCTAGGATTAGTTCAGTTAGAAATTTTTTTGAACATACGCGCGATCCTGCACATTATACATACACATAGTGTGTCAAGTGTATCCTGTCTCTATAGCTCTGCCTCGTTTTATCGTATATTTTAAAGAGATAGAACGTCTTCAAATCATCAAAAGTAATTGATTTTTTAGTCCTATTCTAACGTCTGCTACACAAAAGAAGTCACAAAAACATGCTACAAAGCGAAAAGTATTACCTGATGCTAAACGCCAAAAACGATTTCATGCTAAAAAAGAGCATTCAGTAATAGATCAACTCAAAGTAGCTTTTACCAACTGAACGTCAAAGATTATACTAAGCAAATAACAAATTACGACTAAAAAATACAGAAACTCAAGAAGAAGAGTTTACACAAACCCAATAAGAGCAATATGTACAACCTCTCGTTGAAGGATGTTAAATGTTTCAAATAAAAAAGATCTTTTACATTCAAAAGGAAATTGAATTACATTTTCCCTATTCCTCATCCATTTATAAATTATTAAACTAACAAGAATATTAAAATTATAAAATAAAATTATTATTGCCATCATGCGTTAAACAAGTTCAATATTTTATGGTTTCTATAAATATATGAAATTATCACTTTTGTCGAGCGTCCCGTGACGCACATAATTTTTTTTACAAAAGTACAACACCCGTCTGTGCGGGAAACCGAAACCAAGGCAAACGTACCTTTACAACTGCTCTGTTAATTGGTCAAAACTTTAATAGAGCTGTTTAATAATTTCCTTCAAATTAATATTTTGCGGCAGGTTTATTTAATACATATTAAGTAGTACTATGAATGAAAAATCTATGTATTTAAAATTCCAGATTCAATAAAAACATTTTTATGCAATGGACAAAAATCTGAGTCTTAGATCATTTAGTGTTTACTAGTTCCTGGCCGAAAATATAATGTAATGATAGCAAAACGAGATACATTTTTAGCAACTGCCTGAATCTCAATTTCAAAAATTTAGGAAAATGAGCCATGATTTTATTTGGAAGCTTTGGAGATACTTGTGGAACCTTGAGAATCAAGAGACATCAAATTTTTATATTTGTTTAAGGAGCTGCAAAAGCATGTTTAAGTTAGACCGATGCTTTCTGTCTTTTTATCTGCCGCTTTCAGTTGTAATAGTATCAATAATAATAATATCCCTATATTTTTGTTGCAGTAATATTGATAATTCCTGTACGTAACTACTAAAGTTTTTTATCAAATTTAATCAAACAAACTTTTAGTATAACCTTCTCCTTTTTCATTCAAAATGTTTTTTGTGTGGTTTTAAGATTTGAAGCTTTTAATAGAGAGTTTTTGGGCCCCTTAAAATCACGTTGACCTTAAAGCTAAAGGTTATTCTAATCATATGCAGTGTTAAAAAAATAAAGTGTTCATGCAAATGACGTTAACTGGGTTTTTTTAGTTTTTGATACCGCGTTTGTCGCACTCTTAATCAAATAAACCTGACTTAACTAAAACGGGATAAGAAAACAATAAAGTGAGGTTTATTTTATTAAGTGTGCTACAAACGCGGTATCAAAAACTAAAAAACGCACTTAACA